GTGGCCTCCCCCCCGTCACACACATTCTTTCTCTGGTATTTTAGAAAGAATCTCAGAAATATTTTTAATTCAATAAAAATCAACCAAAGGGAGGAAAGTGAAGTAGGACACATGTGTCTTGCTTAGACCCCTAAGCCTCACCTCTCAGCAGCTGCAGCGCCCAGGAAGGCCTCCTGTGCCTGGGAAGTCTGGCTGTGCCCTTTGCCTGTGTGTGCAAGGGATGCCCTTTGGAGCCGATCAGTGTGTCTAGAGGCCATCGGTCTGCCAGTCGACTCTCCGCCACAATGGATTTCCTGTGCTGGCTGACACCCTTAGTGTACAGATTCTTATCGTTAAATCAACATAGTCAGGCTCCTCAAGGGACTGCCTTCTTCCTGGTAGAGCAGTTCTTGTTGTGTCAGTTTGATAAGCATAATATGTTTTAATCCACTTGGACTAGGTGCTAGAGTTCTCTGCTGACTGTCAAAGAAATAAAGGTGGACAGCACTTACACTTGCAAGGAAAACCTGGATTTAGCTCAAGCCTAGGTTTAGGTCTACTGCAGGGATCAGGAAATTGGCTACAAAGTGCAGCCTAGACCTGTGCCCTCTTTGGTTTCTTTCTCTCTCTCCCTTCCTTCCCTCTTTCCTTTCCCTGTTCACTGGGTGTGAATGATGTCTCCAGGTAGGGCACGCTCTTTAATTTCTCCTGGTCCTACCACTCTGTATCAGGACCCGGTAGGACATTTCCATTCCTTGCCATGTCCCCTATGCACTGGGCCAGCAACCCTGGGTCTTTCTGGGCTCTCACACCTAAGCTGACCAGGAGGGCCAGGAAAGCAAACTCTGTAACAAGTCAGAGGGGCCTGTGTCAGTTTTCTTTTTCTTTCTTTCTTTCTTTCTTTCTTTCTTTCTTTCTTTCTTTCTTTCTTTCTTTCTTTCTTTCTTTCTTTCTTTCTTTCCTTTCTTTCTTTCTTTCTTTCTTTCTTTTTGTTTAAAATTTTATTTGTTTACTTGAAAGTCAGAGTTACTTAGAGGCAGAGGCAGAGAGAGAGAGAGAGCGAGAGAGCGAGCAAGAGCGAGGTCTTCCATCCAATGGTTCACTCCCCAGATGGCTGCAACAGCCGGAGCCAGGAGCTTCTTCCAGGTCTCCCACGTGGGTGCAGGGGCCCAAGGAATTGGCCATCTTGTACTGCTTTCCCAGGCCACAGCAGAGAGCTGGATCAGAAGTGGAGCAGCCGGGACTCGAACTGGTGCCCACATGGGATGCCAGCACTGCAGGTGGCCGCTTCACCTGCTACACCACGGCACTGGCCCCCCCACCCCCGCCCTGTGTCAGCTTTCTGTTTCTGTTGTACAGAAGGCCTGCCCTGTGGGGTAACAGTCTGTAGGACAAGAAAGGCAGGACAAAGAAGCCTCTCTTAAAAAATTATTTTATTTATTTGAGAGGAAAAGTTATAGACAGAGTGACGGAGAGACAGAGAGAAAGATCTTCCATCCCCTGGTTCACTCCCCAAATGGCTGGCCAGAACTTGGCCAATCCAAAGCCAGGGCTGGAAGCTTCTTCTAGGTCCCCCATGTGGGTGCAGGGGCCATCTTCTACTGCTTTCCCAGGCCATAGCAGAGAGCTGGATCAGAAGTGGAGCAGCCGTGGCCAGGGAGTGCAGTGGAGGATGGCCCAGGTGCTTGGGCCCTGCACCCCATGGGAGACCAGGAAAAGCACCTGGCTCCTGGCTCCTGCCATCGGATCAGTGCGGTGCGCCGGCCGCAGCGGCCGGCCGGGGGGCCCATTGGAGGGTGGAACCAATGGCAAAGGAAG